AAGGCAGAGAAAACATTCCCAGCTTCACCCAGCACATAACCATGGCTGTGCTTACATCAACCGTCTGGATAAAAGAGGAAAGGAGGAAATGTCTTGGGAATCCTGGTATTGCTGAAAGCCAGGACAAAGCCAAACACCACACACAGCTTGGCCAGTGCTTCTGGAGGCCAGCACTCCAAAACCAAAGTGGATCCAGGTGGGATGAGAGCACACAGCTTGAGCCACAGAGGGTGACAGTGCACACGGTGAAGGCACAAACGACCTGGCACATCCCAGAGCCAGTGCCAGCCCAGGATGAGCTGTAGGCATTAACACACGGAGAGGTCAGCCCAGAACCTCCCTACACCATGCTTGGATCTGGTCAATAAAAAGCTTTTTACATCTGTACTAACCCAGACCCATGCACAGAAATTGTCCTGCTTGTCTACTGTTAGCAACACACAAAACCACTGTTAATTGCTAAAACCAAGGGCAAAGGAGTAAGGACAGACATGAGGCCACCCAAAGGAGAAGAGTTAGACAGTCTGATATCTACTGGTGGGAAAGGGGAATGCTGAATTTCCTTTGTCCTGCCCAAAGCCTCTGTACTGTTCACAAGGGGATGTGCTGGGCTGGGGTTTATTTATAAAACCTATGAGAATGTTGACCTTAGGCTATAACTTGGAGAAAAATAAGCAGAGGTCAGGTTTTCTAAACGCAGGCAAAAACCCCAGAGAGAAGCTTACCAGCAAGACCCCCGACTTCCAGAGGGAAGCAGAAGTCAGGAGAGGCCCCAGCACTTCTGAGCTGCCAAGGAAACCATGCAAACCATGAGGCCTGGTTTGAGCACAGCCCATGCTGCAGCTTTCTGTTCTAGCCACAGAAGCAAGGCAGGGTCTGTGAGGAGCTTGAGGGTGCCCGAATGAGCCTGAGGGAGATTCCCAGCACCTCTCTCTCTGCTGGCAGAGCCTTCCCAGGCTCCTAATTTTTTTGTCTTTTTAAATCACTGATGAAGAAAGATGCTCCTACAAGTGGTGATTCAGAGCAGGGCCTTTATCGAAATGCTCTGAATCATTCTTTGTAAGAGACCATCCCTGCTGACAACTGAAGGAGCCTCTGGAGAAGGCAGACAGATGAAGTGGTGATTAACTCTTGTGTGGCATTTGCATCAGAACACTCATGTAAGAGACTGAGCTGTTTGCTGCTGGGGCTGTGGCTCATTATCCAAACCTGCTCGGACAAAAAGCCCAGGCCGGTGCAATCAGAGGAGGAGAAACACGCAGTCTGCAATCCAAACGTTTGACCCACAAATAACTCAGCCAAGGCCATCCCTACTATTCTTATTAGGAATACCATGAAGTCCTCCTCGCCTCAAGGAAAATTATCCACGCCCAGCACGATGGGGAATGCTGCTGGGTGAGGGTGGGCAGGAGGAACCCCCGCAGGTGCAAACGGCGCTGGAACATTCCCTTCTCCGTGTGCAGACTTTCCGAGTCTCTCTGGCGTAGCTGCAACGCGAGTTTCCCGTTTCCCTTCCAGAGGGGCCGGTGTCTCGGGAGGAGCCCTGCCCGTCCCGGCGGGGTGCGGCACGAACGCCCCATCTAGCGGCACCCGTACAGGGAAACGCCGCGGAGCAAAGCGAGCTGCTGGAAATGGCCGCGAATGGATGGGAAAAGCGATTTATTTGTGAGTTCCACCTGTCTGGGCTGGGCACTGCAGCCCATCGCCGCTAACTCAGCACAAAGCACAGAGGGATGACAAATTCCTCACTCCCAACCCACAAAAGCCGAAGCTGCCTGAGCGCCTCGCGGGCTCAGAGCCCCTCACAGAACACCCCGGGCCACGAAACTCACTTCACACACACCTTATAACCTCTCATGTTTAAGAGAAACGACCCCGGCGGGAATGATCTTTACTTAAGGGCACATAAAAGCAGCTTGCCCGTGCATTTGGTGGGAGCACACCCGAGCCAGCCTCCGCAGCCCTTGTGGAAGAAATGGTCACCACTCACCTCGGCCCTTCCCGGCCAGGCCAGCCGCTGCAGAAATCCTCCCTGGGCAGGCACACGGGGCAGGAGAGCCTGCGGGCACCCAGGGTTTGTGGGCAGGAGACCCTCCCGATGCCCCCAATCCGCCCAGTCGGGGGGTCCAAGGGGCCTGGGGGTGTGAGGGGTCCGAGGGGCCTGAAGGTGTGAAGTGTGTGAGGGGCCTGGGGAGTCCGGGGGGCCTGGGGGTGTGAAGGTGTGAAG